AGTAAAGAAAATATGTCATGGAATATGTCATTGAACATACAAATTATGTCATTGAATATGTCAATAAGCATTTTAGATGAAGATCATGGAAGAAGAGTAGACATTCATCATACAACAATATGGGTTTTTTTAGGTTTAATCCAAATAATGCACGCCCCTGCGAGTATACTCCAAATATATCGGGAACATTTTGCATATGCTTTATTGTTCTTATCCCGCTCACTGAAATACTAATTAATCCAACTTCTCCGACCCAGTGCAGTTCGATTTTCTCACAGTCGTCCATGGCGGCAGATACTGCTACCAACCCTGACCGGATACATGCCTTCTTCAGCAACCTCGAGTCCCGGAAAACCCTACTGGCCACCGTCACCGACCTCCACAAAACCCTAACCACCCACTTCACCAACATCGACAAAACCCTCTCCCAGAAATCCGAAACCCTCGACAACCAAATCAAATCCTTCAAGGAAAACACCGAAAATGCCCTCCTGAAGCTCCAGAATCGCGAGAATGCCCTCCCCGACATAGAATCCGGCATGGCCGCTTTCATCGCGGAGAAGAAGGACGCCGCCGTCTCGGAGATTGAGAATGCTGCTGAGGGTTTGGGGGATTTGAGCGAGAAGAGCTTGGCCGAAGTGCTGAGGATTTACTGTAGAAGAATGGATGCCAGCGGCCTCGTTAGATTCCTTCAGACGAAGCGAAAGGAATCTACTGGTTTGAGGACGGAGATTGTTGCTGCCCTTGACACTTCCGTTGACCCAATGAGGTTTTTCACTTACTCTTTCTAGAACTAGAAGGATATTTATGTACTCTCACCTCCATTTTATGTGAACCTACGGCACTGGTAATTTAAGGAAAAAACAAACACTTTTTTCGAACTTATAGTTTAAATTAAATTATTTCTAAATTCAAAAAAGGGATACTTTTGTTAACGGATAGAATAGGAAATAGGTTCACATAAATTGAAATTGGAGAGTGTGTATGTGTGTATTATATTTTGCTCTCTTTTCTGCATTTGTTAGATGACTATGTGCACTTTGTTCCATCTTTATAAGGTGATAATGTTTGATAATAATGTGGTAATGGAAGAACGATAGCTAGTTGGTAGGTAATGAGAGATATTTTCAGCAATCTATTGCGCCAAAGAGACTATGTGCACTAAATCCTGCTTCAAACCATTTTTCATGATAAAATCGGCTCTTGGGCACATCACACCTATTAGAAAAAAAGGACATTTACAAGTCTCGACAAAGACCATTCCTTAACTGGGTAGGACGTCTGCAGCTCCTTTTCACTGTCCACAAGGTTTCTATAGCTTATGCACATCCAACTCAACAAGCATATAAACATAACTCTGGCCTATCCCCTACCTAGCACATATTCTTCTTGGTCCTTCTAGAGAAATACTTATCTGTGTCGTCAACAGCTCTCTGTATTATTTTGATAGTGTAATAGTTTATTGTGGATCCATTTTAAAAAAAAAGGTTTACTATAGACTCTCTAGATATGGGGATCCGTCAAGATGGAGACTTAGATACAGAAAATTGGAAATAAACCAATTCACAATTTTAAAACTGTTTTGCATCCTCAATATAAATATGTTCTTGACGAGGCAACATGAATTTACTTGTGAACCAATTAATTGTATAGCAAACAAATAAGGGGATGAGCGAAACAACAGTGATCTGGATTAATAACTTTTGGTTGCTCAACTCTCAGTTGTTGTAGTAGTCTATGGAAGTTATCCATAATCTTTTTTTTTTTTAATCTTAGTTTGGGGACTTCTTCCATATCCCACGACTTAAAAATACTTAATTATTTTTGGAGAAGTAATTGAAATCGAACACCTAAAAGACTTTCCCCTACTGTATCAACGCCTTCCTTGGCTTTCACAATTATGCATCTTTTAGGTTTTCTATGTTTGTTTTTTTTATTCTTTTCAGGGTGGGGTTGGGTGTGTAAGGGAGGAGACAGGTTTGGTCAGAGTCAGAGTTGTCATTGCATATGCCAAAGCAAAGTAGAGACTTCGAAGCCCACATTGTATATTGTGTTGAGTGTTTTTGGTCATCTAATTCTTATCATTTTTTTTACTNTTTTTTTGCTGGGTTTCTTTCAGGTTGATCTTGGATGCTGCAGAGGAGTTTGTGGGGATGAAGGTAGAGGGGAAGATGATAGGGGCAGATAGGAGGTGGGCATGTGATATGTTAGTTCAGTCAGTTGGGCCAGTTGTGGAAGGGGGTTATGGTGCGGGGAGGAGTTTGAAGGAGAGGGCAGCAAGGGTGTTGGAGAAATGGAAGGGAGTTTTGGGTAGTGGGGACAGGACCAGTGGAGTATGCGCTGCTGAAGCAACAATGTTTTTGCAGTTGGTTATATCATTTGCACTAAAAGAGAGGTTTGAAGAGGAGTTCCTAAGGAAGCTGGTGATGGAGTTTGCTAACAGGAAAGATATGCCAAAGCTTGCGGTTGCCTTTGGATTTGGGAACAAAATAGTGGGTGGGTTCTCATGAACACCGTTTATCTGTGGAATTAATGTCATGGAAAAATCTGATATCCAGTATCCTCCATATAGGCGTGCCAAATTTGGATTTAGTTGGCTAGAGAAACTTAAGTTGCTTTAAGATATACTCCCTCTGTCCCAATTTATGTGTCATACTTTTCTTTTTAGTCTGTCCCAAGGAGAATGTCATACTTATTTAGAAATAATTTCTCTTTAAACTTCCTGATTTACCCTTAATGAAATGATTTACAACCACACAAATATCTATGATTTATTTTAGACCGCAAGTTTCAAAATTCTTCCTTTCTTTCTTAAACTCTGTGCTGTGTCAAATAACGCCACATAAATTGGGACAGAGGGAGTAATATTTGGTTTTAAGATATTTTTCTTAACTTGCTTCCTGTTCAAAAAATTATTTTTCTTAACTTGCTCCGGAAAATATTCAAATTGAAAAAGAACCTATTTCATGCTTTGCTAGTAATTGGAATATATTACACAGAGTTTTTGCCTCCTTTAGGATGTGTTGCCTGACACTTTTACTTGCCTTTTAAACTCTACTATGCTTGAAGATTTTCTTCACTCTATGGGGTGAGAACCATGAGGTCTCAAGTTCAAATCCCAGAGGTAAAAAATACTAGGTGATTTCTTTCCATCTATCCAAGCCTTGGTGGATAGAGGTATGTGGTACCCGTTGCTGGTGAGAGATGGTAGGTATCCCGTGGAATTAGTCGAGGTGCGTGCAAGCTGGTCCGGACACCACGGTTATAAAAAAAAGATTTTCTTCATTCTAATTTCTGCAGTTGTCTGCATACAATATGATTATATGTGAAGTGAAATTCTACTCTAATTTCTCATGACTTTGAATATGTAAATTTGTAAATGGTGCCTGAATTTCTGTTCGGTGGAACAGCGAGTATTATTTAGGGACCTGTGTTAGCTTGGAATCGGGAAGTTGTTGGATCCAGCTATTTGCTTTTGGGCCAAGAGCTTTATGGTTTTTTGTGGTTCCTTTGAATGTTGGACTTGCATTCATTACTATAGAAGATGACTATGTTACCTTCTCTTTGATCAGATATTATTGAAGAGCTGGTGAAGAGCGGCAAAGAGGTTGAAGCAGTATATTTTGCTTACGAGTCGGGATTAGCAGAGCGATTCCCTCCAGTCTCACTTCTTAAGGCATATCTTAGGAACTGTCGAAGAAATTCTAATAACATATCAAAGAAGGGAAGATTTAGTTCAGCTGCAGTGGTGCGTATATTTCTCTGTCCAGCCCCTCTGTTTTCTCCTCATTGTGGTTGCCTGGTTGGTTTAAAAAAACAAAAATTGCCTGGATGAAGAAGTGATATACAAACACATTATTGTGTTTAGTACAACGGAGAGATGAGTGAATCCCCCGCATCCAAGGAAAGGAGAAAGAACTCTCTTTTCATTTCATTTCCCTGAAAGTTTTATATTCTCAATAGTAAGGTAAATCTGTTGCAGGAGGATTACAGAGAATTGATGATTCTAAAAGTAATTAATGCCATTCTTTTAGTCTTTATGGAGGACATAGTTGTAGAAGTTGCATAAATTGTTTTTAAATCCAAGCCTGCCTATGTCATTTTAAACCAAAGTTATGCGGGAAAAGCAGTGTCATATGATGATATAGACTAATTTCCATAAAAACAGTAATTTTGAGGGCGTGCAGATCAAAGACTGTAGAGTGTAGACTTTAAGGACCACCTCAAATTGTACAAGCACCTTCTGCTGTAAATCCTTTCGTGAGATTCTCAGTTATTCTTGCATCTACTTTTATGAATCTGTTCTTTTTTGCTGCTGTAGTCATATGTTCCCTTTATTTTTATTTATTTGTTTGTCAGTATCGGATAAGTGTGACTTGTTTCTCAGGACAAAGCTAACATCATAGAGTGGGAAGCCACTAAGGCTATAATAAAATGTGTGGAAGATCACAAGCTTGAACAAGAATTTTCTTTGGAAGGACTTAAAAAACGGGTGACAGAGTTGGAGCAGTCCAGAGCAAAAAGGAAAAAGGGCACAGCTCCTGGGCACAAGCATTCAAAAAAGCGGGGCCGTGGAAGTGGCTCTGGCAAGGCCAGTGACCAGTCCACCTCTCGGCCTGTTAAATCTGGAAGATTGTCGAATGCGTCTCCTTCTTTCCGCTCCAGGAATCCTCCTCCATCACATCAAGTGCCACCAGTTAGATATACAGGAGCACATAGCTATACCAGCCAGAGTGTATACGAGGCACCTAGCACGGTCTCATATGCTCCAGCTTATAGTGGAACCCACACCACAAGTCCGGCTGCACTTCCTCCACAATATGGATATGCAATTCAAGAAACTGGAGCTTATAGCGGAACTCACACCCAAAGTACAGCTGCACTTCCTCCACAATATGGATATGCACTGCAAGAAGCCGGAGTTAGTGGAGTGCGGAGTTATCCTGGATCCTATGGAGGGCAGAGTGGTTATAGTGCATATGATTATACTCTTACTGCTACTGCTTCTGCATACCCACCTTCATATCCCCCGCAGTAGTGTAGACTTTTTAAAAACAGACACACATTTTTAGCTGTACCTTCAGCTTTTTACGTGGTATCTAACAAGATAGGAAATATCTTGTAACTCTTTTGAATTAAGTGTGTGCTCCTAACATTATTTTGCGCAGCTTTGTCCCTAATGGTCTTCTTTTAGTGAATTAGTAATTTCTTTGACTATACATGTTATTTTTAAAGATTTGAAGCATCCATAACTGATAAAAAAAATTAAGAGGCGAATACATAGTCACTTAAGTATGTGCTCTCCTAAGGATTGTTAGTCTTATGCTAATTTCTTTGTTTTCTTGAGCCGAGGGTCTTTCGGAAACAACCTCTCTACTCCTTCGGGGTAGGGGTAAGGTCTGCGTACGCACTACCCTTTTCAGATCCCACTAGTGGAATTTTACTGGATTGTTGTATGCTAATTTCTAGAAGTATCTCTTTTTCCGTCAAAACAGTTGATGTATTCTTTCATCCTTTGACTATAAAAAAGAGGTGCATATACTTATAGGGAGAGTAATTGGTCACAATTTTGAGTTGCGTTGAATTCATGTCAGCTTGTATGATTTTATATGTTGCATTCATCCATAAATCGATTTCTGCAAGGTTTTTGATGCTCATCGCGCATTTGAGTATAAGTGATCGTTTCAAATTTGTACCATATACTGTAGGAACACTTTACCAATTCTTTCTTTGACATATTAATCTCTCAGCATATTGAACCTATTATCACCATCAGAACATTCTTCCAAAAAATAAAAAAATAAAAAAAAACACTCCCTATTAAGGAATTGAAGATGGTGAAAAATAAAGAACTCTAGGTAAAAATAGGAACCACAGTAATGTAGCTCGAAATAGAAGCCAGAAATCAAGGTTCACGCATGGCATCTTGTCCTTTGTTATTTTTCTGGATTTGTCCCATATATCAAAAAAGAAGAGACCAAAAAGACGACAATGTCGGCAAGTATTGCACACTCCCGATTAACCCTCACGGCAGCATCCAAACACTACAGTCATCTGGCGCCGGTTTCTCATTCCCACCTTCGATTTCTCGCTATCACCTACCTTCCCATCAAACCTAATGTTCTACGGGAAGCAGAATTAATATTGTCCATTAAACTTGTTCTGTCACAATTCCATGAAATTAACATGTGCACCCGAGGCATCTAGATGCACAACCGCAGGCAGTGAACGGTCACCGGGACTAAATTCTTCTTCTGTCACTTCTTCATCTTACTCTGCTACTGAAGAATCCGCCCTCTTCAACTATAACGCCACGGCAGGACACCTATTTTTAAATATCTCACAACCTTTGCTTTTGGCAACTTTCCAAACAAACATCCAGGCTCCAGCTAAAGGCAACTCCAGCTCTAAAAGATAATTTAGTACCTAACAAAGAATATGCAGCCCGGTGCACTAAGCTCCCGTTATACGCGGGGTCCGGGGAAGGGCCGGACCACAAGGGTCTATAGAAAAGTAGCCAAATTAACCACCTAAGTGCTTAAACCCTCCACCTGAAGTGTGAATTACATAAACCACCTCACAAAAGAAATGGCATTACTGCCCATTTGATTGCCCTGGTGCAAAGCTGCTCCACTCTTTTGTTGATAAGGTAAAATTTTATTAAATAAAAAAGGTACCAAGATGGTACAAATACAATAGGCCAGCAACTAACACAAAACGGATTTCCAGCAAAGCTGCTCCACTCTTTTGTGAAGAGCATGTGATTTCAGAGACATCTTAATAATTACTCAGCTACACTAACAGAAATTCTATTTTGTATGTATGAAAACTATAGAAGGTACATGTTAGAAATAAGAAAAGAATTTAAAAAGAAAAAGTTATAGTAAGCAGCATTGTCTGGTTTCCTGTATTGGTTTCTCATGCTCTTTTGGATTGATGAATTCAGTCACACCAAAAATTTTGGCTGTAAATGACAATTACAAAGAAGCATGAGTTTTTAATGGACCATTTCTCAGGCAAACACAGATAACAACTACGTATACTCGAAAATTCATGAGAGCAGTGTTTAAAACTCAGAATGGAACAGCCACTCTGACCATAGAAACCTTTCACAAGCCAACTTCCTAATACGGGTGAGGATAAGCCCCCAAAACCATTTTGTTCAACAACCGTCCTTCAAAGGGATTAAGACTTCTTGTTCTTTTCAATTAGCATTTTATTCTATCATAGAGGGAGCTCTACATAGGTGGTTAACCCCCTTCGTGTGAAAGATCAACAAATTCAACTCCTTATTAGCTACCAATACGAAACAAGTGAGGACACATACCTACACGTGTACGAACATGAACCCATAAAGACACATCTAGATACCTTCGCAACTTCAATGTAGAACTTTTTTTAATAAGGTGTGTCAAACTTAATTTGACTTCTCTCTAGAACACATAAATACATACTCACACTAACATTAAGCATGACTTTGCAACTTCTATGTAGAACTTGATTTGACTTCTCTCTAGCAAGCTACAATGGGATCCAAGCTCAACTTTGGTCACAGTTGATATAGGATATGAACAAATACTATTCATTATCCCAGACAAAGGAATACAAAACTCTACTTGTACCATGTTTCTCAGCGTCAATATCAATCCCAATAATTCACGAGGACACCAGCAGCTTTGCATCCTCTTCAACCTATCAAGCACATTTTTAATTGTTTAGGTAAAAAATAGAAGAGTTCAAGTATTGACACAATTATACTGTCAAAAGCTTACAGCGATGGAGCCAGGTTCAATTTTTGCAGTGGAACCTAGTTCAACAATGGAACCTGGTTGAACTTTGCGTGCCTAAGCAAAAGATAGAAACAATGGAACCTGGTTCAACTTTGGCAGTGTTCCAAGCAGCTACAAGACCTAAAGACATCAAATATATAAAGTACGCTATAATGTGTGGATGGAAAAGACGGGCATAACTCGGTAGTGGATAAATTAAACAAATACATTTGACAGAAAGGAAACAATAGGCAACAGTAATATAGGAATTCTCTGAGTTGCAACTTTCTTCCTCCTTTTCGTCAGCAAAAAACTTCCTAGAGATTACTCTAGTGGAATAAACCAATATGAAGTTCTAATGAGAGATAAAAAGACACTTGGATTTACCAACAAAAGCACTGTCCAGTCACTCATATATTAGCTATAAAAAGAGTTCACAAATGGAATCGGGCTAGCTCTAAATCAGAGATAATACATGCCAGTGACTAAGGAATCAGCTACACAACAATCCTTATTGCGAAACATTAATTCAATGATGAAATAAATAGCAAATTAATAATTGGAACACCACGACCAAGAAGGCAGACTTTTTCCAGAGGAGCTCCTATGTCAATAATTGCATCGCCAACGTTTCACTCTTTCGAGCTTCAGTTCCTTCAAAGTCACTAAAGGAAGAAACTGTTGCAGCAGAGGTGAAGTGTCTCACCTTATTAGGTAAAAGTAAAACCCAAACCACCTCCCCTTACATTACACCACACAGTGTTTCCAGAGAGGAAACGCACTAAAATAGCAGAAAAGAGCCTCTCCAACTTTTCTTCCCACATCCAGTTTTTCTCTCTGACAAGAGTGAGTTGCTCTAGTGGTGAGCACCCTCCACTTCCAACCAAGAGGTTGTGAGTTCGAGTCACCCCAAGAACAAGGTGGGAGTTCTTGGAGGGAGGGAGCCGAAGGTCTATCGGAAACAGCCTCTCTACCCCAGGGTAGGGGTAAGGTCTGCGTACACACTACCCTTCCCACACCCTACTAGTGGGATTATACTGGGTTGTTGTTGTTGTAGTATCCAGTTTTTCTCTCTACTCATTTTCAAAAAAGTTCAAACTTTTGGATCTCTCCAGCCTCCCAACATACCTTATTCCTGAAGAACAGGTCTCCAAAGTCATACCAAACAATAAATAGGATAAAAAAAAATGCATGCATTCCAATTCAGTTGGTTCACTTAAACTCTACATGAGAAAACAGAATTTTAGAATGCTTTTGAATTATTACAGCAAATAAAAGAAGAATATAGACAAGGGAATTGGTTCAGAATGACATAGAGCATTAACAAACAAGTCTAATGACTAATATAACATAATACAAGAACAAAGGTGTTGCTGTGAATAAAAATTCAACCAATTTGAGGAAAAAGGAAAAGGTACTTACTCTGCAAGGATGAAATGCTAGACGACTGATTGGCTCATACAAAGTCATGGTGTCAAATTAGGGTTTCTAGCTCTGTGTTATTGGAGATTGCTTGTATTATGATTCGTCATGGGACTTCCGGGCGCTAAAGAATGTGGTATAAACTATACCAAAAACCTTGAATCGAAAAGGACATACGCAAAAGTGACCACTTCTCATCGGTGTTAAAAAGACATCTCGCTGAAGTGCTTTGAAGTATAAGTTCAAGGACTCAAGTACTCAAGTGTTATATCAACTAGATCATTTTCTTTGCTTTGATGGAAGGCCAATAGCTCTAGCACCTGATGGATATCTTTTGAGAATGGTTTTGAGTCATCACCTGATAGAAATTCTTGAACCACACTGTTTACCTCAATTAGACTGCAGCCTGGTGTTTTCTTCATGCATTTACTTCTTATGAATTTCCTCATCCTTGATACACCATCCCACTTTCCAAGATCTGCATAAATATTAGCGAGTAGAATGTAGTTGCCTGTATCTTCAGGTTCAAGCTCTAACAGATGTTCCATTGCAATGACTGCAATTTCAAGATTGCGATGAGTTCGACAAGAACTCAATAGAGAACCCCATATAGCAGAGTCAGGCTTCACTGGCATGCTTTTGATGAGTGCAAGAGCTCGTTCAAGACGTCCTGTACGCCCAAGAAGATCAACCAGACAACCATAATGCTCTATCCGTGGCTCTATGTTATAATCATTTTTCATGGAATCAAAGTACCTCAAACCATCCTTCACCAGACCAGCATGCGCGCAGGCACATAGAAGACCAACAAAAGTGATCTCATTTGGTTCAACGACGGACCTCTGCATTTCATGAAACAACTTCAGTGCCTCATGAGCTCTACCATGGTTTGCTAGGCCTCCAATCATTGTACTCCAGGAGATCACATCTCTTTCAGACATCTCATTGAACAACTGCCAAGCTTGGTTTACACTTCCACATTTCGCATACATTTCCATTAGTGCGTTGCAAACAGAAGTCTTCCTCAAATATCCATACTTTTCTGCATAGAAATGAATCCATTTTCCTAACTCAAGAGCTCCAAGTTGTGCACAAGCAGGCAAAACAGCAACCAGACTAATCCAGTCAGGTTTCATCCCTACCATTTGCATTCTCCTAAAAACATCCAAGGCATCTCCATAGCAGCCAGTTTTTGTGTATCCTGCAATCATAGCAGTCCAAGAAACAACAGTCTTGTTTGGCATCTCTTCAAATAAAGCTCTTGCCTTTCTCACTTGACGCAACTTTATATGCCCGGAAATGAGACTGTTCCAAGAAATCACATCTCTCTCGCTCATTTCCTCGAATAATTTATGCGCGTAACTCATTTGATCACACTTCACATACATATCCAATAAAGAATTCTCTATCACACTACTAGACTTCAACCCAAATTTACACACCTGCCCATGGAATTGTTTACCTAGATTAACACACAAAAGCCCCCCACATGACCTAATAACAAATGGGTATGTATATTCATCAGGAGAAATAGTTGTTTCGTCACTCTGGGTTTGTTCCATCATTTGCTTATAGATATTGATACATGGCACATACCTCTGTCTGTTTGTATAGGCTCTGATCATACAATTGTACAAATAGTTGTTTGGCTCCTCAACTTGTTTGAACAGCAAACTGGCATAGTCTACTTCTCCCAATTTGTCACAAATCTCAATCATTTTGGTCACCAAGTAATTACTCTGTGAAAGGGAAAACTTGACGATTTGGGCATGTATTTTCTTCATAAAACCCGTGCTCTTGCAGTTTCTCAACATGGGTATAAACATGTCTTCCAGTCCTTTGACCGTCAGGAATCCATATTTGGCATCCATCCTGCACTCTGATCATATTCTTTATCAAAACGTTCAGGACTCTGAAAGGGGCTGTGTCTTTCAATCAGTGTTGAGGCTTGTAGTTTGAAAGTTTCAGCTGTCCCAATACAACAACAACAACAACAACCCAGTATAATTACACTAGTGGGGTCTGGGGAGGGTAGTGTGTACGCAGACCTTACCCCTACCCTGGGGTAGAGAGGCTGTTTCCGATAGACCCCGGCTCCCTCCCTCCAAGAACTCCCCCAACCTTGCTCTTGGGGTGACTCGAACTCACAACCTCTTGGTTGGAAGTGGAGGGTGCTCACCACTAGGCTGTTTCAGCTGTCCCAATACCTAGGGAAAAAATAGAAATCACATAAATGTTCACAGCAACTTATACCAGCATTGCAGTAAAATCAATAATCTAAATTTTGTCACAGTAAAGTCACTTGCTCCACATTTCACAGAATATCTTTTTGGCCGGAAATGTCACTGAACTACACCGGTCTTCCTATTTCGCAACCCATAGAATTTAACTTTTTGTTTGATAAGGAACAAGCCATGCAAATAAAAGACACACCCAATTTCCCCATATTATTACCCGTTTCCCCCAATTTTTACATATTATTAGACATTCCAAAACCCACTTGAACAAGTTGGTTGGAAGAGAGATTTGAATCTGGAATTTTTCAATCAATATCACCAAATGGCAGTTGTGTCAACCTTAAAAACAAACTTTGAAATGAGGGAAATGCAGATCAGTCTATTTGAAAAATAGTTGAAAGAAAGCTGAAACAACTATACAAACAACAGCTTCGCTTCAATCAAAAACTAGTCAGGTTGGTAGCATGAGTCTTCAATACATTTTAGTCTATTTGGACCGTTTCATTCTAAAAAGAAAGCTAAACGGATCCCAAAAAAAGTTCAAACTGAGCCAGACAATAAAAAAAGGAAACCGAGCATACATTAAAATCCCAAAAAATCCCAAATGAGAATTCGTTTAGCATAAGCCTAAGATGCCTATAGAAAATATCTTTGTACATAGATGCAATCAAGATTGTCCCAATAAATGGATGCAATCAAGATTGTCCCAATAAATGCAGCAAGTTGTGAAATTTCAAACTGCAATTCGAAAAAGGTGAAAGAAAAACATACTCCAAAGTTCTTCCGAAATAATTGCAGTAACTGATAACTTTAAAGTGATGAACTTTACCTCGTTAAAAATATGGTGGCAGAGGAGAGGAGGAAGAAGCTAAGGAACGCCCGGGGTGGGGGTAGGGGTGGGG